GAAGGTGGTAAACGTTTCTTTTGGGTTTGTTTTTTCCTTCAGGTCTCTGAGGTCTTGTCATCCACCCTGACCCACCACTCTCTCCAGGGTCTACCTTTACTGATACTTGCCAGCCATCAGGACAAACCGACAGCCCGCAATAAAGACCAGGTTGGCAGAAACCTTCCCTTCTTTTGAATCTTGGTCTTGGCTCTGCACCCAAACATTTTCACTGTTGACATAGATGGGGGTTAATGACTGGTCTGACTTACAATGCCGCTGCCTGCGTGCGCTTGACACCCACATAAACACCCTGTGGGTTTGGGCTCATTGTTGCTCAAACAAGGGTGTTTCTTGTGCCTGTACACCCATCACTTGAGGAAAATGCTCCTTTTTCTCCAACTAGGATAACTCCTTCGAGCTTGATTTTTGTTGATGATTTCCTGGACTGTTCCTCTTCATTTTGCCACGGATAATAATGACCCCAAAATGCCTCTGAAACTGTTTTTCAGAGAGGGGAAAAGATTGTGTGGACGTGTACGAGTCCACACTACGCCATCATACCCTAGATTATGTGGACTTCTTTTGTGCAGAGGTCCACACGATGTATGCCATGCCTGCACTCACAAGTCTGCAACTAAGAAAAGGGTCCCATCTTCCATGTTGGTCTTGGATGATGTGCAAGAGCTTTGCTACCAGTCTTCTTGTCTTGTGTACATGAGTTCCATTCTCGGATCATCTCTAACCCCCGTCGGCATTCTTGCACAGGAGCCTCCCCAAATCCATCTGCATGTGAGACCTCAAGGTTGAGGTCTTTTTAGTCTAACTTTCAAGGAGGATCAAGTCAAAGGAATAGTTAAAGTTGTGATTTCTTCTCTGAATCTTCTGAAACCTCTTGAGGCATCTTGAGGGATCTGAGCAGGTTAGGACTAATTTTTGAGTGGCTTTGTGTCAGTAGTCACCAGTGTTGTAGTGGAGTCCATTGCAAATCCTTTCCCAAGTCTAGTCACGAGTAACAGAAATGCTTCTGTATGCAGTTCATCGGAATAGCTTGTGACTTGGCTGCAGACTGAATGGCTTGCAGGGACTTGTGATGAACTTGACTACAAAACCTTATTCGCATTCAACATTGTGAGCATGCCTGATTGCTGTTGTATTTGCATTTTTCATTTTAATCCCAGCTCACGGAAGCCCTCAACCTTGACAGCCTCAAAGACAGCCACGAGGTGGTTCTCCAGCTGTGCTCCCGCGACGACCTTCCCGGCGTCAGAGAGGGTCTGGACCGCCTCGCTCAGATACTCCACACGACAGCAGACCACGAAGACAACAGAGTATGAGGTCTCCACAAGTTGGCTGGTGAGCCAAGTTTAGCTGGAGCTAGAGCTTATTGTCACGAGTTGATGGAAGTCGAGAGACGAGTTTTCTGAGGAGTTCAAACCGAAGCCTTTATCTTAACAATAATATTGTCCCTGGGTATTATTGGCTCTCTAGGCTTAATCTAGGATTGATTGGATATTCCTAGGTGCCATATATGAAGCAAGGCTGTAGAGAGTTTGTCAAATTTCAATTGAAACATCTGAAAAGGGTAACCTGTCGACAGGTGGGCCTGGATGATTAAAGTTGGCACTTGGACAACCAGCGGGGTGATGGTCTGGAAAGATTGGAGTGACAAGCTGTGTATTTGGAAGACAGGTGTCGTCATTACTTAGAAGCTGATACCATTTAACCTCATTCAGATAGCATTCCTATGTTTTATTGACCCTATGCTCTAGATGTTTTTGCTAAGACTTTGTGGGGGAAAACCAACACAGTCGAACCACGTTAATAAGAGGTCCTTCGGTCGGACTTGGCCAATTACCTTATTATAAGAGGAATCTTGTATTATCAGGAATAAAAACAATGAAAAACGAGGGAGTGGGACCCCGAAATGTCCTTGTTGCAAGCAGCATCTTGCATTAACAATGTATTAACAGTTCTTAACGAGGTTCGACTGTATTACAGTGGCAAGACAATACCTCACTGAGTCTTTCAAAGTTAATGGGGGAGAATGTGGAGGAAATGGAGGAATTGGGGTACAGTAAATATTATATTGCATTTGGATTCAGCAGGCCCTGAAGTTGAGTACCAGAGGAAACAATGTTTTCTTTTGTATATTTAATGAGAAATAGAAATTTCTCTCTAAACATGTCAATAGAATTATATGGCAAAGACGTCTTTTAGAGCACTCATTTTGCTTGCTGTTTTTAGAGCACAACCCATGCTTTGTTAGGTTCTGTATTTTTATGGTTTTTTCCAGTAATCCATTTTTGTGGAGGGGTGTAACAATTTCATTTTTTTCCCCATGATTTGATACATTTCATGATGATGAGGTCACAATACCTCTCATGAGCTGAAGATGTTGAAGTTATGGCATGGTGCTTGGCATATACGTGTGTATTCTTTGTGTACATGCAAAACTCGTCCACATGCCATGCATTTTCATTGGATGCGGTGTGCACAGCCATCTCCGACTGCTATATGTACAGGTGCATCCCTTTCCTTGTTCTCAACATTTGTGGTAGAGGCTTAACATTAAATGGTCAAAGTTTACACAATTTATTTGATGTATTTTGGTCTTATTTAGACTTCTGTTTAGTCCTGGAAATAGTCTTAACTTTTGATAAAAATTTGTTTGAAAGGCTCAGTGCCACAACACAGTTTATAGTATCACAATATGCTATTGTGCATGCGTCAATGTATTTTTATACACCTGTTGTTACATGTTTGGGTAAAAGTGTTTGTAGTCTTATGTCATCTTTCCTTCGACTTGTTAGCAAAATTTTAGCTAAAAGAAGCTTGGTTTCTGAGAAAGCCATAAATAACACGTCGATGCGATGCGTATCACTAGGACTTCAGACAGATTGATGTGTCCACCCATGCCAATATACCTGTTGGATACGCAGATTCCATGTCATGTTTATGAAGTTGATGCAGTGCCAATGTATTAATGGTTAATGTTAAGTTGGGTGGGGGTGGCTGTTGAGTTGGTGCTTTGGGATTTTTGTAGCTAGGGCTGTATTCATTACATTTGTCCATCTGCTGTATAGTAAAGCATGCTGAAATTGGACTTTTATAAAGTGTTCTGTTATGTGTACGTGTGTGCTGTACACGCATTATAAATGTATAGTGTAAATCAACTACTGGAAGCCATTAATGCGGTTACATAAGGCTCATGGACAGGTGGTACGGGTGCGTTACATGCCTCTTCAAGCAAAAGAGTGTCGTGATTTGCAAAATCCACACATGTTAAACTGAAGAATGTTCGTGTGAGTGCGATTCCACAGCCGTTACTGCATTTAATGGGATTAGTTTACAGGTGTTTGTGTGGACCAAAAGTCCATCTTAAAGCTTTCCAGTAATGCTTAAGTCAGTAAGGAAAGTTTAGGGCTTTCAAAATACTCAGAGAGGGATATCCCCAGTATAGGTAATGTCTGTCTGTAGTCATTTTGTCATCTTTTGTTGCGTAATGTAAACAGTTTCCTTTCATAGTTCATAAAACAACTGTTGTAAAAAAAGAGTTTTTATAAATGCATGTTTTAGTGCTACGTTTATATTTCTGATGTCATGCAGATGTTGGGATCCAAAAAATCTGAAGGGTCTTTGATTTGACGACATTATCAGATTTAAAGGTTTTCATTGGAGTGCGGGTTGCTGAGTAGAGTTTTTCAATGGCTTCATTTATGGTTGTTTGTTAATCCTGAAATATCTATTCTTTTTTGTCATTTTAAAAGTGTTTGTAATGTATGTAAGTGGTTCATGTATGGTTTGCATACATGTACAAGTCTCTCTTATAGAACGCTTTCACAGAGCACCACCTTTGTGGGAAAATTACTACCGTGTGTTCAACACCATCAGGTGCATTTGTGCGAATGTTGTATACACACGAGCGCCTGTTCATTTAATGATCTTTGAAATACGGCCTAGCCAATGCACATCACAAAAATTTGATGCCCAATATGCTAATACATGTGGCAATCTGCAGGAAGTGATGTCATTAGAGAGACCTATAGTTTATATTTGTTTGCATTGTTTCCATGTATATTGTTGAATTGGGAGAGCTGATCACCCAGAAGTCTTCAGGAGAGCGATAGCAATCATAGAATGGTCGAGTACCAGCCAGTTCTTCCTGGAGTTCATCACCTGTGTGTCTGTATTTATGAGTACTTGGAGTGCGTTTAATTAGCTTACACAGGAAAGCCCTAACCTGGGGATGGCCATGTCTCTGCTCATCAAAAAAACGAGAGGGTAGGGATGAGGTTAAACCTGGGTCAACTCATGGAAGTTAATCAAACACACCCATAGTTTGGCCGAGGACAACTCGACTTTTTGCCACAATGATGGTACAGATGCCTTAAATGATTATCACTCCGGAATATATAGCCAAAGTGATGCTTCGAGGGATCATCATGCGCACTGATGTGTCGTAGTCAGGAGCAAGTGTGTTCATGTTTTGAATATAATGCAACCAGTTTCATGATGAGATTCTGCCATGTGCATGTGAGCAGATGTGGATAGTAGGAGGCTTTTTGAAGACTCTATCCAAAGCTCGGCGCTTGGTGCCATCGGTAAGCCACAGCAAATAGCCATAGCCTGAGGCCAACATTGCCCATTTCAGACACAATCTCACACATGTGCAATTAAGAACTGTGGAAGTGCTGACCCTGTAGCAGGCAAATTGAGCCTACTGCGTTTTCCATCAGTACATCTTTGGTCTTTTTGTCAGTGTGGGCTTATTTTGCATAGATGACCATCAGTGAGCGTGGTCAGTAACCAGTGGCATATCCAGGTCTTGATGGGAAGGGTTGGGGGATAAAATGTAATTTTTTTCTGAAATGACTGTCCAAATGGTTTCATCCCCCACCCCACTATGCCACCGTCGGCTAAAGCTTCCATTCAAAATTTATGCATTTATGCTTTTGATGTATTCGATGATAATAATGGAGGCATCTTCATTTTGGATACTGCTTGTTAATAATTCAGTGTTTTTGAAAGTGACAACTTTTTTTCTACTATGTGAATCGTCTACATAGTAACGTCAACCATGACTGTCTCAAAGCTCAAGCAAATTTTCCATTGCCGTCCTTGTTGTTAGACATTATGCCAATCAGTTTTGGAACAAATTTTAACAAGAAATGTGGCTTTTAGATTTATTTATTTAGAGAAGTCCATAATGCGATGTTGCATGAATTGTACATTACAAGCAATTCCTGCATCAGTATTTGTTGTGAATGGTTATGTGAATGAATAAAACGTGATTCAGAAAATGAAAGAGAAGTTCATCAATCACAGCATGTTTGTTACAGCTGTGACTTTCTTTCTTTGTAACTCACTAGATCTAAAAAAGAACGTCATGTTTTACTTTATGCATGAGCACTTTCTATCCGAACCAAGTAAATAAAGTTTATCTCCCTGCCCAAGGAAAGCAAACCCTTCAAGTATGGCTTCATGATGCTATTATGGCACCGAAGGTGCACACAGTACTGGTCAGTACAATATACACTGACTATGTACTGTCTGGTGGAGTAAGTTTCATTGTGTGTTCCTTACTCATGACAAGATGGAGCCATTTTAATGCTGATAGATTTTATCACAAATGGAAATGATCTGCTTTTCCCCCAACAAGTGTTCATCTTTTAAGTCAATGCCCTTGGGTTTTTGAATGAGTTATATGGACTACCTGCTAATGAGATTTCCTTAAGAAAGGTATGTGGTGGTGGTTTGTGTCAACATCACCCACAACTAAACCTTATGCAAGGTTCAAAACTAAAATACACTTCTCTTTATAGAAAACGAAACAAAGACTTAAAAAATCATCACCCCAAAAATTTCATACTTTGTTTCAACAAATAAACTTTATTTACAGTGATTCAAAAACTCTTTGTTTCCACAAACCAGCAAATAATGTCACTTGCTGGACATTCTAACAGCAAACAGATACCAGCATTACAATCAACTTTTTCTTTAGGGGTCTGATGTTCTAATTCCAGTCAACTCTTCTCAAGGGACAGGTGCTCTTCGGATTGTGGAATACAATACATGAACTCAACTGCAGGTTTCATGCAGTTTGGAACTCGTACAAGATGAAAGCAACCGAATTCGAGGGCTAACAATCACCTCTAATGGGAGAAAAAAATCAGCCCCTGCCCACTGCTAGTCATATCATTTTTCACTCTTCCAATGGCATTCAACCAAAAATCTTCACACATGCAATTTGTCTCTACACACTTCTTGAAAAAAATCACCAACAGACCCAAGAATACTCTACTTGTCAACGGTGCCTCGATCTGGACACTCCTAAATGTAAGTTATAAAACAAAACTCTAGTTTGGAATAATTTAGACTGGCTGTCTCATGCGAGCATCTGGGCTATGCCTATTTGGTGGAAACTCTTGTCTTCTTGTCCCAGGAGAAGTTGGCACCATACGACTTGGGCCTCATTGCTCTGGATGGCAGCTCTTCAATCTCATACCACCACCCTGTCAGAGAAAAGTGAAAATTGGAAGAAAAATTGAATGACAGCATCCTGCAAGTAAACAAGTAAGAAAACTGAACAGGAAGAAGCTCGTGTATTCATCTCCAATGAAGATGATGTGACCACGAAGAGCCATGTCTGGGTTGTTCGGCTATGGCAGCCACTAGCTAGCAGCTTCACTCATTCCCCACAAATGCATGTACTTTTTATCAGCCACAACCATGTCATATGATGTAGCAATCATCTACATGTCCACTCAGTCATGTAAAATACATCAAAGTAGTCCATTTTAGTCACTGCAAAAGGTCCTCATGAATTTTGCACAGTAATTTTAAAATGTCCAAAGCTACTGCCATTTTGAAACATGGAACTGAACACTGAGATCATTAGCTGCCATAAAATCTCTTAACCCCTTGACGACGGGAATTTCTTCCCTAACCGACTCCAAGAATTCCAGCCTCGCTTGGCCAAACCGCGAATTCTCGGTTTGTGGCCCTGCGTGCTCTGCATGCTTTGAATTACACAGTGAAAAGGCTGATTGTTTGGTGGCACGCGGCTCGACTCACGCTTCCACATTCCTGTTGCCTCTTTT